GTGTGACGGTGTAACAAAAAAGACCAAGACCAAGAAAGAGGATCTGGCCCAAAAAACAAATTCGTGAGGGCTTGGCCCAGAGCGGACAATATCATACTAATGCGGGGTTGGGTGAGGGCACGCGCAGTCCCAACATGTGGTATCGGAGCTCAGGTTCTTACGGGCGTGAGGCGGACTGTGTAGTGTGGAAAAATCTCAGTGTGACGGTGTAACAAAAAAGACCAAGACCAAGAAAGAGGATCTGCATGTGGTGCCTTGTGTCGAAAGTCTTCCCGGCGAGAGGAGGTCGGGCGGCGTGTCCCGTGAAGTTATAGCCACGGCGGTACATGATGATTTGGCGGATCAAAATGGTGTAGCCCAGCGAAAAAAAGATCTGCGGTTCGAGCCTTGCGTCGAAAGTCTTTCCGACAGGAGGTCGGGCGGCGTGTCCCGCAAAGAGTGTGCGGCGGTGCAAGATGGTTAGCAGATAAAAAAGAAAAATGGATTATCACTGGAGGGGAGGTCGGAAATTGTGTGGTCCTTGGTTGAGGGGAGGTTTGTTGGGGATTCCTCCAAGTCCCACACCGGAGGGAGAAGAAAAAATGGACCAAAATATATAGGTTCACCCAACTCCATTAGTATGAGGCCTTTTGGGAAGTGCCCAAAAAACAAATCCGTGAGGGCTTGGCCCAGAGCGGACAATATCATACAAATGCGGGGTTGGGGTGAGGGCACGCGCAGTCCCAACAAGTCATTTCCCAATGTAGGACTTAAACTTTTTTATTCTCTAAATAGGACTTAATAATGACTAGTGAGAAGAATAATGTCTAAGTAATGCTGAACATTTAGTTGAACAATGACTAATAGATAATGACCAATGGTCCTACATTGGGAAAATAAAAACATATGATCCTAGATTGAGAAAGTCATTATATTTTAGTCCTATTTAGGTAAATTACCCTTGGCAAAAATGGGTCAAGATAATATTTCCTCAGTCACATAAAGATGTTCTTATTTTGACTTTTAAAACATTTAAAGATGAGATATTTTTATATTGACTTTTTAAAAATATCTTTGATGTGATGAATAAAAGTATAATCTAATAGGTAGATTATTATTTAAAATATATGAGGTGACAAGTAAGTTAAAAATTAGGTTAGTTTACCTAATTTGGACTAGAACATAACGACTTTCTCGACCATGTGTTTTTATTTCCCAATGTAGGACCATTGGTCATTATCCCTTAGTCATTATTCAACTAAATGTCTAGTATCACTTGGACACTATTCTTCTCACCAGTCATTATTAAGTCCTATTTAGGGAATAAAAAAGTTTAAGTCAGACAATGGACAATGACTTTTACTTTAGTCATATTCAGTGCAAATTCGACTAAAAATTAGTAAGATTTTTACAGTTTCAATCGGATCCAGCTTCGAACGAGTATTCAAATATTGTGGTAAGGCAAGACGGACCCCCCGACAGAAATTTGGGCAATGAATGGATTATATTTGGAATGGCCCTATCTCCTCTCTCATCCATCTTCTTTTCGGTTACCCCGTTCCTATCAATTGAAATTTCTATTTCTTCCTCTCTTATTATCTTTTTACGTTTTCTTAGCATTAATAAAACTCTATTGGTTCGTGTAATACACATATTTAATGGGAATTTGTAATCTTACACCGATAAAAATGACACCAGTATGTGACACCAGTTATTTTGAGACAACTACGATGTTTCATTTGTATTTTTTTTTATTTTAATTTTACTCATCTCGACCACTTGTCAAATGTTGCTCTTCTTTATTCTTCTATATTAAAAAAACGAGGGATGTGTACTGTTTAACCCTGAATTCTTAAGAAATTACATGGTTTACCTCTGAACATTAAAAAGTGTACCAAATACTCCTAAGTTCTTCAAAAATTACACAGTTTAATTCTTGAAAATTAAAAAGTGCACCAACTACCCCTGAACTCTTCGAAAATTGCATGATTTACCCCTAAACATTTAAATAAAGATGATAATTTTGGAAAAGGGTACTTTGGAGAAATCAAAAGGGCCGGATAAAGCCAACTCTCAATTCACGTGCGTGGGAGCAACACAGTCCCTATCAGCATTTAGGACCAACGGTGCAACGTTGTAAATTGTTCAGGAGTATTTGGTGTTTATCATGTTCGAGGTAAATCATGCAACTTTCAAAGAGTTTGAGAGTAAATGGTATACCTTTTAATGTTCATGGCTAAATCATGCAATTTTTTCAAAAAGTTTGGAAGTAAACTGTACATTTTTCTATGTCTCTTAAATAAACTTCGATGTGATTATATCCATATTGGTTAGTGATGGCTCTAGGTTTTAGTTGTGCCCCCCTTTGATAGTGGTCTCTCTCCCCCCTTATATGAGTATTCCCCTTTTGTTAGTTTGGATCTGAGTCATCTGACTTGCCCTCCGTGGTGGTTTTGTGAAGTGCAGATCTAATGGATGTTCTCTTGTTAGTACTATATTACTACTCCCTTCATCTTAAAGCGTTGGAAAATGCTACAGGTACACTAAAGGTGTATCCCGTTTGTCCCCACCCTCTCCATTACCACTTAATTAGGCTAGAAAATTAAAAAAAATAAGTAAATAAAAATCAAAAATAAATGAGTAGTTATTGAAGGGGTGGTGTACAAATGGGGGTACACCTTTGGTGTACCCCTAGCATGACCCTAAAGCGTTAGTCCCATTTTTGTTTACGAGATTTACGGACTTTATTTTTTAATTGAATTTATTTGACTGTAGACGTAAAATTAAAAAATAAAAGTTATATGTTAAAAATATATTAACATTTCTATAAAATAAGATGTAACAAGACTATATTGTTTTATCCAATAACTATCGAAAATAGGTTAAGAAAGAAATTAAACTTTAATCGTATAAATAGTAACTGAGAAGAATATTTTAGAAGAAAGGGTACATCAAAGCGGGTGAAATCTACATCCGAAATGAGGACTTCTCTATTCTTTATGTATTAACAATAAAGTGTTTGCTGACAACACACTCTATGATGAGTTTTCTTCTTTAGAATACTCTTCTTAAGTCCCAATATGATCAATATACGCATCCTCTTTGTAAGATCTATTTTATGCGCTTAATTTGGTTTTAGTTCAATAAAGTTTATGCACGAAGTATTATATTTTCTATGTTATTCCATTACAAAAGTCTCTGTTCGATCATAAGTTCTCTTTGGTTTTGATATTGATGGTGTAAATATAGCGGGGTGGGTTAACCGGGTTTGACCTGGACACACTCGACCTGTAATATAAAACACACAACAAGAACACAAAGTATGACCTAGACCGGGTAAATTTCCTCAGTCCGAATTATATTCCTTACTCTATCTCAAGAGTGAACTTTAGTGAGAGAAAAATTGGATCCCCTCCTCTATCAAATATCATCATATTTATAGAGGAGGATTTGTGACCTTCCCCTGTTCATCCATGGACAAAATAGGAAGCCCGTGGGAAGGTCACTGTACATAATCAACCTACTATTCAATCAATGAATTTAGCAACTACAAGCCAAGACAAGTACTGTTTAATCAAAGACTATAAATGGATATTCTCAATCCAATCAACCCTGCAAAGTGACAAATGTTTCTTTCACTATTTGCCTCGTGAAGGCCGAACGGCGGGGTGGTCCCCTGGCCTTTGATGTAGATTGCCATTCCCAAGTGACGCAACCTTACCGGTCATCTTTCCTCCAAGGTTGTCCGGTCATTTCTTGAGTTCGACTCGTCTCTTTGGTCCTCTGGACTATCCTTCGTAACATGAAGTGACGAATTGGCTAACGCCCAAAATGTGACCGATCACTTTTTTAGTGGAAGTGACCGGTCAACTTTTGACCCGTCCCAATCGAAGAGTTAACATCATTTGGTGACTTGATAAAAGTGACCGGTCATATTTTGACATGTCCCTTTCGGTTATCCGGGTCGGGTATAAGGATATACCCAGCAGATATAATTTTTTGAGTACATTCCCAAAATGGTAGTCAATAATTGTCTTTTTTATTAAATTAGTCCTGAAAATGAACTAATTCTCAATATGGTACCCGTTAATTGAAAATAAATTAAATAATCCTCAATTGAGTTCTTCGACTAACATCCATTGAAACAGTACGTTTTAAAGAATTAAACTTTATAGTAGTTTCTCAAAATGGTACTTTCTAACTCGGTGTTTTTGATCTCAAATTGGTTCATTTTTGAAATAAAAATACATTAATTATAGAAAAATATTTTAAATTCTATTGGATGACAATATAATACGGAGTACTTAAAACTATAAATATAATGTTATAAATTAAAAGTAAATATTTTCAATTATTTATTATTATTTAGAAAAATAACATGTAAATAAAATGTTCAATAATCGTTAAAGAAATTACCCTAAATAGAAGTAAAACATGAAGAAAGAATCAATATATGAGCTCTTTCTCTATGTTTTACTTTTATTTAGGGTGTTTTCTTCAACGTTTAATAAATATTTTGTTTGCATGATATTCTTTTAGATGGTTGTAAATAATCTAAAACTTTACTTTCAAATTTATAAAATTATATTTATATTTTTTAGTATTACATTAAAATCCTATAAAAATTTAAATATTTTTTCATAGTAAATGTATTTTTATTTTGAAAATAGATCAATTTGAGAAAACACACAGTTAAAAAGTACTCCCTCCGTCCCAAAAAGATTTACACCTTTCAAAAGAACTGCGCCTCACAATCTCCTACCCATTTCTATTAAAAAACCACTTTTACCTCTTACTTTTTCAAACCCTACCTATCACATCATATATTTTTCCTAATAATCTACACATCACATCCTACTTTTACACATCACATCAAGGGTATTTTTGGAAAGTCAACACAAAATTATCACTCCCTTAATTTCAACTTTAGTCAAAACGTGTAAATCTTTTCGGGACGGAGGTAATACCATTTTGGGAAAGTAGCATAAAGTTTAACGTCGTTTTAACTACCGTTAATCGGGGAGCTGAACTAAGCATTATTCTCAATTATCGAGTCCTATTTTGGAAATAAGTTAGTTTTGATGACTAATTAAAAAAAATACATAGTTATTGAGTATCATTTTAAAAATTTATTCTAGTTTTTTTACTTGTTACTCCGTATTAAAAGAAGGCAATTTAAGCAAGTTTAATAGCAGACGATCAAAGTAAGAAAAAAAGATTACTGTGGTAGAAGTGGTCTAGTGGAAAATGGATTTACTTATCCCCGAGATGATAAAACAGAAATGGGCGAAATCATAGCAAAGTACGTAACTAACAATATCAAATGTCAGCTGTTACGATATCTGCGGTTACGATTCACCCTTCCGAAATCCGCCATCTTTTTCGACCCATTTTTGCAAAGCATCATCGGAGACTTCGCCGGAGCTCTTATATCGCCGGCGTACGTCATCTCCGGCGGTATATTCTTCTGGCTCCATTGCCTGTTAGGGCTAGCGCGAACTAGCGGACTCAGGCAGAACGTCATTCCAGAGATGTTCCGGGGCACCATGGCTCTCCGCCCAGGGGCGAGCGCCGGCGTCCTCCTTGGCGTTCGCTTCCACCCCTGCGAAGACTCCGACGAGTATCCGCAGTGTTCGTGGACGAAATCTTCACAATACCTCACCGGAGATAGTCCTCTGTCGAAATTGCGGCACGATCTCCGCTTCGCATCCGTCGCTGATTCGTCTACCGAGAAAGCACAGTGTTGCTTCTTCCGGCAACCTCCGAGAATGGAGGATATCCACGAGGCCGAAGACGACGAATCGATGCAAGGATCGCCGGAATTAGACGCTCCAGCATCCGAATTCCGCTTATCGGGATTGGATCTAAACAGATTGTTAAAAAACGAAAACCTGTAATTCGTCTTCTTCTTCTTCTTCGTCATCTCGCAATAATACTCGTTCTCCTCGTCTATCTTCCCGTTCGGACCTATTTCCGGAGTGAAATAGAATCTCTGCTCCGCAACACTGCCATACCTGCGGTGGTGGTGGTGGTGGCAGGAGGAAGAATCCGAGTTCCGGTGAGATACATACGGTGAAACGGATCGCGGGAAAACCAAAGGCGGACGATCGACGTCAGATCTCCGGCGATCCTCCGGAGCCTGAAGCTGTTTCTGCAGAATATGGCGGGACTGGGCGGCGACGAGAGCGAATAGCTTCTCACGGAGACAAGTGGCGCAGACGCCGACGCCGCTACTGATATCCGACTCGTGCTTCTGGCACCTCATCGCTCCTCGTGGGCGGCTTAATTAGAAGTTCCGGAGAGGGGGGATTCCGGCGAGGAAAAGCGACATTTCTGGAAACAGAATAAACTGAGCGACAGAGCGAGCGTGCGGGTATTGCCGTCGCCTTCTTCTCTGCTATTACGATCGATCGGACAGCGCAGGATGGCTCAGTCGAATACGTGTGGGGTTTATATATTACGGAGAAAGATTGGATTGGAAGGGCATTTGCAGGGTGGATATTTCTTTTTGCCAAAGTCTAATTTGTTTGTTTGTACTTCCTCTATCCTACAAATTTTTTCGGTTTCATTTTTTGCGCATTTCATAAAACACTTCTATCCCGTTTTGAATGTCCATGAAACTTTCAAAATAACTTCTACCCATAATAAAGAAGAAATTTTGTAAATTTTAGGCATTTTAGATATCGTTAGAAATATTTTATGAAATGCGCAAAAAATGAAACAGAAAAGACTTTTTGGGACGAAGGGAGTATATGAATTTTGCTTTAGTGTAAATTTAGTGTGCTCTCCACTACACACCAATCGTTACTAGCCTCTTGTAGAGGTAGAAATGCTAGGCACCCTTACAAACTTTTTAAAGAACTTTTTGAATGGAGCATTATACTTCGTTGTTTTAAAATATTTTTATTCATAAAAAACACTCAACGTGATTTAAAAATTTCTACAGTCGGTGAAAGACTTAAACTTTTCCAACGTAACGATCGACGGGAGCCTTAGCTTGCCTTGTTGTCTGTCGTCTTGGAATCGGGCGATGGCTTGCCGCAGGACATCATTATCGTTCATCCCACTCTTTCGGGACCGAGAGCATTTCTCGCAAACTTCAATAAACTTTCGAATTATGCATTTGAAGTGGCTCCATTTGGAATTGAGTTGGTTTCGGGTTCAGTAGGAAGCGTCCTTGTTCATCACCGCAAAGAACTTCTCCTCGATACGATCCAACATCGCATCCTTCATTTACTCAGAATCTTTAAGAAATATATAATTCAACAAAAAAATATTTTAACACAAATATATATCTAAAAAGAATTTATATACAATATATATTTAAAAAACATATAAATTTTACCAATAATAGGATATTGCGAGACGTTAGCCAACGATTCTTCCTCCATTGTCCGTTTTTGAATGGACCGTGCCACCTCGGTTATTGGCTTGTCGCCATTCGGTTTACGACTCTTCCATCGTGCACTTTTTTTTGTGCACCTGATTCCGGTTAATCATACACCGAGGAGACTGACTCCGAGTCATCGAGATTCACCGAGGTTTGCGGATCGAACATCGACAGATTATTTCCGTACGATTGGAAAATCAACATTGCTTGCTCGTTTGGCTAGAGATTAGACAAAGAAACGCTATAATCAAAGGTATTCATGTTAAAATTAAAAAAATACTTGAATAATTCTTTTTTTAGAAAGAGGAGAGAGAGATTTGTATTTGTGGTGTGTTGAATTTTTTAAAAAATAGAATGAATTTATAGAGGAGGAAAAAATCTTTTTTTAATATTAATGGCATTATAGCCGTTGTCGGGGGAGGGGGGGATTGCAAACGGCTCTTCCGAGCCTGAAAGTAGCGTCAAACATTTGACACTTCCCAGATGACGCCGCCTTAACGGGGGAGGGATGCTGTTTTACGTCGGGGGCATTAAAATTGGAAAAAACGCCCCCAACATTAAAGGTATTTCTAGTGCTCTAATAACCAAATCAATAAAAAATGAATTAAATAATTAAAAGTTTATCCTTAGTTCACTATATTTTAAAGTTCATATGCTCAAGACCATGTGATGATTTGTGAAGGTTAATATTGATGCATCCACAAGCTTGGTTGATGATATGATGGGAGTGGGTTTCATCGCTCGCAATGACCTTGGAGTAGTTTTGTCAAGTAAGAATATATCTTTTAGGGGCAGCTACGGTCCCAGGGAGGCAGATGAGGTGGCAGTTAAGGAGGCCCTTAGTTGAATCAAATCAAAAGGTTGGATGTAGGTAGAGATCGAAACCGATTGTAAGGAGGTTGTGGATGCACTGAATAACTCTTTTGATAATTGGTCTTATTTCTCTTCGATTATTACTGATTGTAAATCCCTATTGACTTCGTGCAATAAGATCTTTCATTTTCACTTTGTTTATCGCTCTGCTAATGAGGCGGCACATGTACTAGCCCGAGCTTCTCATTCACCTCAGAGCAGGGGAGAATGGAACATTTCTCCCCCTGACTTCATCATATCATTAATATAATTTTATTCCCTTTGCTTCAAAAAAAAAGTCAATAACTTTTTAAGTAGATCTTAGGTTCATCTAAGAATTTAACTTAATAAAAATAATAATTTAATAAGTTTATATGGGAAAATTCCATTGTTGGGACAATGAATGGAGTAGATTTTCTCTGCCCCTAAATGAACATTACAGATTTACAGTTACTTAAAGATGGCTTTTTAAGCATGCTACCTAGCTTAGCTTTTTATTATACGGAGTATTACTTTAAAAAAGTCAACTCCTATTTTTCTGTTGACAACATTATTCAATTTGTTCTAAAACAAACTACTTGATTACACTTTACAGGAAATTTAATGTGTTAAAAAATGTAAAGTGTATGATTAATTGGAAACTATTTAGAAGGAAAACAAATAATACTCGAGTAAAAAAAATTACGTGTTAAAAAATGTAAAGTCACACGACATTCATTTTCTTGAATAGAAATAAAAAAAATTATAAAGCTTATTTAGGAATTTCCGTGCACTTTTCAAATGGTTTTTGGTTATTGATTCAAATGTTCTTTGTGTTGGGATTCCTCCAAGTCCCACACCGGATGAGTAGGAGTAAATGAACCAAAATATATAGGTTCACTCAACCCCATTAGTATGAGGTCTTTTGGGAGGTGCCCAAAAACAATTCCGTGATGGCTTGGCCCAGAGCGGACAATATCATACTAATGCGGGGTTGGGGTGAGGGCACGCGCAGTCCCAACATGTGGTATCGGAGCCCAGGTTCTTGCGGGCATGAGCAGCGGACTGTGCAGTGTGGATAAATCTCGGTGTGACGGTGTAACAATAGGACCAAGACCTAGAAAGAGGATCTGCAAGTGGTGCGGGGCCTTGTGTCGAAAGTCTTCCCGACGAGAGGAGGTCGGGCGGCGCGTCCCGTGAAGTTATAGTCACAGCGGTACAAGATGATTTGGCGGATCAAATGGTATAGCCCAGCGAAGGAAAGATCCCCATTAATATGAGGCCTTTTGGGAGATGCCCAAAAACAAATCCGTGAGGGCTTGGCCCAGAGCGGACAATATCATAGTAATGCGAGGTTGGGGTGAGGGCACGCGCAGTCCCAACACTTTGAACTTGATTTATTAGATCATTGGTTGCCATGTTTCGACTAATAATCAAATTAAATGTTATTGATCCAAATGGTTTTAGCCTTGTTCATCACGCCGGCCTTGTTTATTTCGTCGTCATCGCAAATTATTAGATGTAGTTAGAAAATAAAAAATTATTTAGGGCGTGCTTGGTAAACAAACAAGATATGAGTTTTGATATTTCCATGTATCAAAATTCGTTGTGGGTATTTGGTGAATTAAAAAAAAGGCATTGAATTTGATATCTTTGGATATCATAAATCCTTTAAATGAGGGGTTTCGATATCTCTCCGAATTTGAGAGATATCAATAAGAGGTTTGATGTCTCTATCAACCATTGATCATTTTCCGTGACCGATTATCATTGTCACCGCCAACCACCCTCGTTTCCGGTTAGCTCCACCTATCACTTTTTAAATCATACCTCGTATCATTTCTCCTAGATTTCATAACTCATATCTCATCATATCTTCAAAAATCACCCGTCGTTAGAGTAATTGGCAACCCTTTCCCAACCAAATAAAGGAAAGGATATATTTCGTTAATAGCTTGAGCTTGAGCTTTGTTAGAAGTTAAGACCTGTGTATATTATATATGCCGCTTGAATTGTGGTTTGAATAATTAGTTTTATGTCTGATCGAATTCAATGACATGTTATTCCATCTTTATTTTGTTGACACTATTTTTACTCATATGATGAATTGAGTTCTCTTTGTCAAAAATACAAACCATTCATATAATTTACTACTCCGTTTAGGAAAAACTGCAAAAAAAATTCAAAAGTTTATTTATGTATATTATTTTACATAGTATTCTTATTATAATTATTATAGATGTTGTTGTAATAATAATAATAATAATAATAATAATAATAATAATAATTTATTCCTTTTCATTGTTATCATTATTATATTCATAATAGGTAGAAAAGTATTTAACCACGTGAATAATATAAATGTCATTTACTAAGACACCGAGAGAGTAGTATTATTATTGTTTTATAATTTAAAATTTTGATATTTTTCCAGATCAGTTTAGATTAATAGAAAATCTATAATTTTTAGAATGTAGTTTAGTGTCAATGTAAACTAAAAAATGAACAATTTTCCCAATAAAATTGTACTACATATTAATTATATCAAAAAAGAAGAAAAAATAATAATGAGTGGGAATCACAAAACACTGACATTAGAAAAAAAGTGAAATAATTTATAAAATGTAGTTATAATAATAATGATAATATATGAAAAATGTACGGAGTATTATTTTTAGAGTCATTATTTGGGAGAAAAAAGATAGAAGAAAATGCGAATAGTTAGAAAAACTAAAAGAAACTGAAAAAAATAGAAGAAACTAGAAGAACTAAAAGAAATTAGAAGGAACTGGTAGAATTTGAAAAATCTAGAAAAAATTAGAAGAAACTGGAAAAAAATTTAAAGAAACTAGAAGTTAAGAGTTTAAATTCTAAAGAACAGACTTTAAGTATAAATGAAAATTTTTGTCATGATAACTTTCATAGTCAATATGTTTATCGGATTAAATCGGGAAGAAATTTTGGACAATCTATCCCTGCTGAGGCGGACTTGGAATAAGAAGTGAATTTCCATCTTAAAGATTCAAATTTGGAATTGTTGAAATTAAATGGTATGCAACCTCGGCCCTTTAAAGAGAATGTTAAGTTGTGATTGGTCACTAAGGCCCTGTTTGGGATCAGCGTTAGCGTTTTGAAAAAGTTATCTGACGGTAGCATTTAGCGTTTGCGTTTTCAGAATTAATCTACTTCATTAAAACTT